TTAGATGGTTCACTCACCCTACCCTGCACTCATGTTGATAGGTCTAGGAGAGGGGGGAGTTTCTGAGAAGTTAGTTGACCATGGCCACCATACTGCTACAACTTTCTCTCAGAGTCCTACAGTTAACCCTGTGTGTGTGTGGTGTGTGTGTTTGGAAATACATTCCTACTAGTTACCACTGTGGTTCTTGAACTCCCATAGGTGTGTTTTACAGTTACATAAATCAGGCACAATGATAACTTTGACTCTTAAACATGAAACATTTATTAAATGGGAAGGTAAGAACAAGAATATTCATAATACATAGTCAATAGTAAAAAATTAAGAATAACAAAAAAATAACCATCCACCCATAAACCTGGGAAATGCTCTTCTATCCATGGACAAGTTGTTTATGGGAGAGGGTAAGCACACACAGAAATCTTGCAATGAGAAATCTGAGTAGGGCTACCCATGTGCCTCAGGCAACTCACAGCTCTGGTCTACAAGTCCTTTTTGTGGAATGTCTATACTGCTCATCCACTTCTGAGCTTTTTCACTCTCCTGCTGGACAAAGTCACTTCTTAGCCACTCTGGGGCTGCTAAAGTAGTGTTAAGGTCAAAGCACTTTCCTTATGTCTGAAACCTACCAACTGAATCCAGTCTTTTCTCTGTGGGCTATAAGGGGGTTTCCCCTTTTCAAGAGGACAGTAAAGGGTAATGTGGACAGATTGCCCTCTCTCAAGCTGTAGTACTATCAAGCAATGCAGCCTCTCCCTAGCCTGATCTGTTTTCTGCAATCATTTTCTTAGCAAAACAGTGCATTGGTATAGCTTTCAGTAAAGCAGATGCAAAACCTTCCCTTCCCTACTCTGCTTCTTCCTCTGAAGTTATAGAGGGCAAAGCAGGCGAGTCCCTGAGTGCTTTTCCCTCCCTTGGGCTGTAGAAGGTGCCAGTGGGCAGAAAGCTTCACACAGGTAGAAAATTCTGCTTTCTTCCAGTCAGTTTCTAGCCAGAACAGAGCTCCCCTCCCAGCCCCCAGCAGATCGAAGTAGCCGCTCATTTTTTGGCTCTATCAGTGGGCTCTGCCCAAAGCAGTTCTTATCTTCTGATTCTGCATTCTGCTTCTTTCAAATATCGTGGGCTGGTGGTGACAGAAAGTCTCTGCCATCAGTTTTTCTCTTCCGGCAGCTGCTGTATCATCTCTTCTCATCTCTTACAGCTTCTAATCCTTCACATCATAGCTTCCTCATGAGTACTGATCCTTCTCTAACTCAGATTGAGGGGGAAAAAAGCCACAGTTAAATCACTCATAACACAATTAACATGCAATTTCTCATTATCCCCAAATAATTTTATGATTTAGTTTCTCAGCTATATCCTTCACTGAAAAGAGTAGTATATGAGCTGATGGCTAACAGTACACTGCGGCCATCCCCCCTACCCCTACTTCCCTCCACTGTATAGTAGCTCTATCTCTGAGCTGCTTTCAAACAGGTCCTCTTGGTACATCTGTCCGAGAGCCAGTTTTCTCTCAGGTCCTCAGAATGGTCTCGACCTACTTTTCCAATATGCATGCCCTTTTTCTGCCCTCTTTCAGCAACTAACGTGTCAATAAATGAAAGGGGCAAGTACTTTGCATGGGAATAATTTGAGTTGGCTGAAATTAGAAGGCCAGAAGAGAATAGGGAAGCCATAGACAGTAACCTAAACTAGATGAAGTACCTGGAGACAAAGACCTGATGAAAGATTACAGAATGCTATAGAAGGAAGCCTAGCATTTTAGGCAATCTTGGGGGAGTTCTAATTGGGAGAAAGGAGTGGTTGATGGTGCATCATGCAAGGAAAATAAAAATCAATGCTAGATGAAAGGTTAGTATAGTCTAAGGAGAAACTTAATTTTCATGTTCCGCTACCACCAACTCATCAAAAGAATCCTCAAAGACCGTCAGTCAGATTGGCATCTGCTGATCTCGCTGCTGGTGCTACGATGTATAAAGAAAGTGTGTCTTTTGGACTAGCAAGCAAGAGTCCTTAAGATAAGTGAGTGGTCCTCTTCCTTTGAATTTGAAGATGAAAGTTTAGGCTTTAAATTGAATCCAATATTTATAACCAGGGTGGAAGATGGATTTGAAATATTTATATTTTTCTTTTCCTATACTATTTTGACCAAAGGAAGTCTTGGAAAAGTTGAAGGGTGAAAACGGTGAAGTCACTATTCTAGAGGTATGAAAACAAGGGCAAGACTTTAACCAACACATGTGCTGCCCTCCTTAGCTGCTCAAAGAGCACAATGGTCAGAGGAAGGATAAAGAAAGCAATTTACCTTAAGTTTGAAGCAAATGAATGAAGAAAAGAATGCAATGAAAGAAAATGCATTCAAGTACTTAACTATGTGCAAGGTACTGAAGGTAGAAACAGAAAAGCAGGAGGCAGCTGGATGGCGCAGTGGATAGAGCACCAGCCCTGGATTCAGAAGGACCTGAGTTCAAATCTGGCCTCAGACACATAATACTTACTGGCTGTGTGACCCTGGGCATGTCACTTAACCCCGTTGCCTAGCCAGAAAAAAAAACAGGAAAGCAAGACTGTCCTGTTCTCTGGAGTTTGTTATTGGTGGTTCAGTTGTTTCAGACGTGTCCTACTCTTCATGACCACTTCTGCATTTTCTTGACAAAGATATTGGAGTGGTTTGCCATTTCCTTCTCCATCTCATTTTACCGATGAGGAGACTGAGGCAAATAGGGTAAAGTGACTTGCCCAGGGTCACATAGCTAGTAAGTGTCTGAGGCCGGTGCTCTATCCATTGCATCACCTAGCTGCTCAGCTCTTTGGGGTTCTCAAACTCTACTAGCAGAAGAAAACACATATAGAAGACTTTAGCTATTCAGTCAGATAGGAAGGACCAGTAGGCCTTAAGATGTACTAGCAAAGCAGACAGCAATGCCTCTTCTTTAATGTTATTTCCATTGATAAAACCATATCTAGTTCTCACGTTGAACCATTTGACAGTGCCAAGGACTTTGGTGGTGAGAACTTTCTTTTCCAGGGGTTCAGTAGCTAGAGTTGCTTTAGGTGAGGGGTGTGTGTATGGGGATGGGGGGGGTGGTGTGAAATGATGCTATTAAAAAGTTTCACATCATAAAAGCTACCACAATACCTAGCTGCTTTGGGGGATAAATTAAACCTCAAATCTAAGTGTTTTTGAAAGCATCAAGAACCATCTAATTTGTTTGTACATCATGTGTTTTTATGTATTAGATATTCATGGACTTTTCTGACTTGTGAATGTCTTGTATTCCTTTTTCCTTGGCTACTCAGAGTTAGAAGCATTGCTTGAGCCCACTATGCTCTTAGAGCTGGGCATTGGATGGTTAATACAAAGACCAGTCAACTGGGAATCTAGGGAACTGGTTTCTAGTGACAGCTCTGCAATTACTTCCTTGTGTTCTTTGAACAGATCTTTAAAATGAATTTGATTGAAGAGATTTGAGGGCATATCTCAGAACCTCTGATATGAAATAATTGGCTTAATAGAATTTGTCCCTAGACTGTATGTAGAAAATAGTTATGCAGAAGAGAGTTGAATATAATAAGAATTCAGAGATGGTTTGAAGAACTGAGAAGAGAATCATTCTCCTAAAATAAAGAATTTTTTGATTAAGAACTACTTATCTAACATCTTGCAGGACTACTAATTTAGAAATTAAAGGAATTTTTATTACTTGAGAAAATTGTGTAGTCATAGCTCTTTGAAAATGTCTACACTGAGTATTATTTTTGTACCATTATATTGTAGGCCAATTGGACCATATATTTTACTATTCATTTAGTAGTTAACCCAATGGACATTGTACCTATGTTTGTTATTATTATTTATTATTAATATTTATTGTTATTAATGATAGTAATGATATCAAATAGCAAAAATGCTGCTTGCCTTGTCTTGGCATTCAAGGCCTTCTGCAACCTTTTCAGCCTTACTTCATACTATTTCCCTTCATGAACCCTGTGTCTCAGTCAAACTGGGTTACAAACTACTCCCTAGAGTTGACACTCCACATTCTGACTCTTTCCATTCAAACAAGCCATTCCCACACCTGGAATGCTGCCATCTCAGAAACCTTGTATTTTCTGAAAGGTCAACTGGGTTGCCATCTTCTATGTAAAGCCTCACCTGATTCCTCCATTCATTAGTGTTCTACCCTTCTTCAATTTTCCTAGTACTACACTAGGAAGTGTAGGCCCTGTATGACCCTGAGCAACTCACCCTCTGCCTCCCTCAGTTTCCTCATTTGTAAAATGGGTATAATAATAACAACTACCTCCCAGAGGTTGCTGGTAAGGATGAAATGAGATTTGTCAAAGCATTTCACAAACCTTAAATAAAGCACTATAGAAATGCTAGCTCTTCTTATTGTTAGCCGTATTTATGTTGTACCTCCTCTTCCCCTACTGTCAATGTAGGCTTGAGGGCGGGGAGTACTTTGGTTTTTGTATTTCCTTGGCACAGCACAGTGCCTCAGATTCAGTAGGTGCTTAATAACAGTTGGACTGAAAACATTATCTGTGTTTAGTGAATATTCAAAGAACCACTGTAAAGTACACACTGATCTGAGAGAAGATAGAATGAAAGTGGTAGTTTAATGGATGAGACAGATTTGCTTAGTGTTACAAACTTGTTTAATCCACTAACTATTGTATGTATGAAGATACTAGTCCAAGATGAACCCTAAAGGACATTTTCACAAATGAGTGCATGGCACTATACCTTAAAGATTTTCTTGTTATTTTCTTGGATATATAATAATAGTTTTGCGTGTGCTTTGGCATGTGCTTTATTACCTTTTATCTTTTATTACTTTATTATTATATTACCTTTAATCTTTTTATCACTTTCAATTATTATCTTTATTATTATTACTTCTAATCTTTTCTTATCGTTTTTAGAATTAACATGAATTAAAATGTAGAGTTCTGCTAAGTTAGAATTTTTCTAATTTTTCTGGTTACTCTTTCAGGGGTCCAGTACCAACCCCATTGTCGACCATTGCCCATCTAGACCGAACTTCACCTACAAGGGTGTGGTCTAAAAACAGGTTTGCTGGGGACAGCAACCTTATTCCCCCACCATGCTTTTCTGAAGGAGTCAGGTAAGCAGAAATGTTTTCTTGAAGGAAATAAGCCACTTTGTGCATGCTGTTAATAATGACTGCACTTTTGACTAGTTTGGAGATGCAATATGATTAAATCATATGAGAGGCAGCCTAACATAGTAAGAAGATAACTTTATTTGGAGCCAAAAGACTTGAATACATTCAATGTTTATATTTTCCCTTTGCCTACTCTGTTATTTACCTTGTTTGTGTGTGTATACACTAAAGAGAACCAGGGAAATCCACGTCTTAAGTGTCTATCAACAAATGTACTAAGCATAAGTAACAAGCAGGGTAAACTAGATGGAAATCCTAAAGCAAGGGAGTATATGTGACTATAGAAGGTATAGTTCATGTAACAGGAATAGAATAAAAGTGGGGGGGGGAAATAGCATTAAATGTTAAGAATATGTGTTCATAAAGAGAAATTTAGTCACCTGAGAAGAGAAACTTATTGGGGAACTTTTAAGTTAGAGTTGAATGGATGTGGAAGAAGTAGACTACTTGTACAGAAGGAGAAAGAGGAAGAGTTAAAGGTAACAAATCTGGCAGGGAAATAGGATATTGCAGTGATGCAGACTTAACTGTGCAGACATTTGCTGGTGCATTCTCTCTGCCGAAAGCAGGACAGCTAATATATTTATGACTTATCTGAATGGTGTTTTCATCCTTTGCAAGATGGAATAAGTGGCAAGGGGAACTACTATCTGGACTGGATTCAGACAAATAAGAAGAAATTAGTTGCTTTAGCAGAAACAGCAAGAACCTTGGGGCAAGTAGTTTGTGACAAGATGAAAAAAAAAATGTTAGGACCAATGCTTGACATGGATAGGATGATGATGGACAACTATGAGAAAGATGAACTGGCATGGAATCTGAGGTCAGAGGAACTTGGTTTGAATTCTGGCTCTGCCACTTACTACCAAGGTGACCACTGACAAGTCATTTAACCTCTTTGGGCCTCAAATGAAAAGGTGGCACTAGATGACTTCTTCAGTTCTTTCTAGGTCTAAATCTACTTTGATCCTAGGGAATTCTAATTTTACTTGTATTTTATCTTCCAAGAAGACTCATATTTTGGACTAGGGAGGATTAAACAAAACTGGTTAACAGTTTTGGAAACTCAAGATCAGGGAGAAGATGGTCAGGCCACATCAAGCTACCCCTCAATGAGTTCAATTCATAGAATCATAGACTCAGCATGGGATATGATGAAAAGAATGCTGAATCTAGAATCAGAGGAGCTAGGTTTAAGTCTTGGTCTCTTAGGTAAAGGGATTGACCTTCTCTGGGCCTAAGTGAACTGATCCAGAAAATTGAGTGGGTCGAACTAGTTGATTTTCAGCTCTAGACATAAATCTGGAAGGGACTTTAGAGATTATTTAACCAATATTCTCATTTTACAGATGAAGAAATTGAGGCCCATAGTGATTTAAGGGCTTTGCTCATGCTAGTGAAGCTAGTAAAAAGCAGAGCCAGGCCAGGATTCAAATCCGTTTTCTCTGACTCCAACTCTGGTACTCTTGAGTGCATGAAGCTGAATCTCATCAGGCCTAGATAAATTACCCCACAGAAGCAGCCATGATCACTGAATAATTGTTGAAGGATCCTGGTAAACAAGAAAGTTGCCAAAGGACTGGAGAAAGGCAAGTGTCCCAGTCTTCCAAAAAGCATAGAGGAGAAAGGCCATAAACTATAGACCAGTGAGTCTGATATCCATTTCTGACAAATTTCTAGAATACATTATTAAGGGGAAAGTTTGTGAGCTCTTAGGAAGAGAAGCCATGATTACTAAAAGCCAACACAGCTTGCTCAAAAAAAAAAATCATGCCAGGTTAATCCCATTTCCTTCTTTTAATAGTATAACTAGACTGGCAATCAAAAAATGTTGTAGACATAGTCTGTTTAGACTATCCAAACATTTAACAAAGTCTATCATGCCATGCTTGTGGGTAACTTGGAAAGAGATGGGAATAAGTACACATAGAAAACACCATTATGTAAATTTGGGATTGGTTGAATGACCAGAAAGAGAATGTTCTGTTGGAAAGGGCAGTGGATTTGGAGTCGAAAGACCTGGTTTAAATGGCACTTTTGTGACTACAAGCTGTATGACCTTGAGCAAGCATTTAACCTCCAAAGGCCTTAGTTCCCTCATCTGTAAAATGAGGGGGTTGGGCTAGCTAGCATATAATGTCTCCTCTAGCTTTATCCTTATGATATGATGGCTAAAAAGCAGTCATTAGTGGGTTAACATCAGCTTGGGAAAAAAGGAGGGGTGACTTAGATTTGTCCCTAGCTCTATAATGTTCAACATTTTTATTAATGACTTGGACCAAATTTGCATATAATATGAAGTTGGAAGGATAACTAACACTTGGAGGACCTAGTCCAAATGCAAAAAGATCCTAAAAGGAAGAGAGAGGGCAACTACCTAGCATTTATTAAGCATTTACTTTGTGCCAGGCACTTGACCTTTTGTTCTTCCAGACGAATTTTGTTACTATTTTTTTCTAGCTCTATAAAATAATTATTTGGTAGTTTGATTGGTGTGGTACTGAATAAGTAAATTAACTTGGGTAGAATTGTCATTTTTATTATATTGGCTCACCCTACCCATAAGCAATTAATATTTCTCCAGTTGTTTAGATCTGTCTTTATTTGTGTGAAAAGGGTGCTGCCATTGTGTTCCATAATCTCTGGGTTTATCTTAGCGGGTAAATTCCCAAATATTTTATATTGTTATATTAGTTATTGTAAATGGAATTTCTCTTTATCTCATGCTGCTGGGTTTTGTTGGTAATATCTATAGAAATGCTAATGATTTATGTGGGTTTGGTTTATATCCTGCAATTTGGCTGAATTTGTCAATTGTTTCAACTAGTTTTTTAGTTGATTCTCTAGGGTTTTGATCTGCAAAGAGTTTTGTTTCCTCATTGCCTATTTTTATTCCTTCAACTTTTTTTTCTTGTCTTACTGCTATACCTAGCATTTTGAGTACAATATTAAATAAGGGTGATGACAATGGACATCTTTGCTTTATTCTTGATCTTATTGGGAAGCCTTCAAGCTTATCCCTGTTAAAAATAATGCTTGCTCTTGGTTTTAGATAGATGCCACCTATCATCTTAAGAAAGGTTCCATTGATTCCTATGCTTTCTTAATGTTTTTAACAGGAGTAGGTATTATATTTTTCAAAGGCTTTTTCTGCACCTCTTGACATAATCATGATTTTTGTTGTTATTGTAATTAATATGATCAATTAGGTTAATAGTCTTCATAATATTGAACCAGCCTTGGTATAATTCCCACCTTTTCATAGTGTATGAGCTTCGTGATATATTGCTATAATCTCCTTCCCCTAGTGTTTTACTTAAATTTTCCCCCCCATAGGTACTCATTAAGAAAATCGGTCTATAGTTTTCTTTCTCTGTTTTTGCTCTCCCTGGTCTATGTATCAAAACCATATTTGTGTCATTTTTAAAAAATGTAGGACTCTTTCTTAACCTATTTTTTCAAATAGTTTCAGAGTAATTGTTCCTTAAATATTTGGTAGAATTCACTTGTGAATTGATCTGGTCCAGGGGATTTTTTTCTTAGGGAGCTCACTGATGGATTGTTCAATTTCTTTTTCTAAGACAGAGTTACTTAAGCATTCTATTTTCTCTTCTGTTTATCTTAGCAATTTATATTTTTGTAAGTATTCACTGATTTTGCTTATATTGTGAGTTTTACTGGCATATAATTGGGCAGAATAACTCCTAATAATTGTTTTAATTTCATCTTCATTGGTGGTATACTCACCCTTTTCATTTTTGATACTAGTAATTTGGTTTTCTTCTTTCTTTTAAAAAAAATTTTTTTAAATTAAATTAACCTATGGTTTACCTTTTTTTTCCATAAAAGCAGCTCATAGCTTTATTTTTAATTCAATTTTTAACTTTCAATTTTATTAATCTCTCCTTTGATATTCAGGTTTTCCATTTTGGTATTTAATTGGGGATTGATATTGGGACTTTTAATTGACAAGCTTTTTACAAGCTCAATATGAATCAACAATGCGGCTTATCAACCAATAAATAAATGTTATCCTACACTATATTAAGAGAAACATCCAGAAGGAGAAAGGTAATAGTTCTCCAGGTCTGCTGTACTCTGTGTTCAATTTTGGCAGCCACATTTTAGGAACCACAAAGACATAGACCAACTATGAAGCAGGTCAAAAAGACAATGGCCAACATGGCAAGAAAGAATTTCAGATGTTTAACCAGAAGAAGAAAAGATTTAGAGGGAACACCATAGCTATCTTCAAGTATTTGAAAGGCCATCATGGAGAAGAGAGATGAAACTTATTCTGCTTTGTCCTAAGGTGCAGGACCAGAAATAATGGGTGGAGGTTGCAGAGAAGGAGATTTAATTTTGATATAGAAAAAAAAAATACTTCCCAACAATTGGAACTATCTAAAAATAGATCAGGATGCCTCAGTAGGTATTGTGCTCCTCCACACGGGAGGTCCTCATGCAGACTTTGAACAACCATTTATTGAAAATGCCATAAAATTAATTTTTGTTTGGTTATGTGTTCAATTAGATGATCTCTGAGGCACCATCCGTCGCTTAGAATAGATTCTGGGATTGAAGTGTTAGGCCTCTGCTAACTTACTCTCTGACTTCAGTCAATTCATCTCTGCACCTCATTTCTCTTTTTTTTGTCAAATGAAATGAGTTGTTTGGAGGCCCCTTCTAGCTCTAACATTCTATGTAGGGAAATTTTGCTACCTGTGGTGTGTGTGTGTGTGTGTGTGTGTGTGTGTGTGTATGCATACATATCATATCTGTGTATGTGTGCATATTTATATAAAATAGGTGTGTGTACATATATACACATTTATGCATGTGCATATATATTTAGGTATACATATATGTATGCATTTAATGATACATCACTATCTTGGTTTTAGGTTTAAAAAAGAAAAGACATTTAACACATAAAATCAGGAGCCAATCTTATGCAAAAGAGGGAAGGAAAGCATGTGGTCTGAAATTAACAATGGCCACTTGCTTATAAGTTATAAGCTTTCAGTTTTGACAAAGAACTGAGTCTTAGAAATCCATTTATCCCGTTAAAATAACAGGCCAAAGAAGTAGTGAGCAAGGCTGTGGTTGCCAATCCTGCACTGCCCCCCTGGAGGTTAGATCAGTGACCTGCAACTTCTCTGATCCAGGCATGTCAGGAGGTATCAATTTTTAATTGTTTGAAGACACCAAAACATGGAAATTGAAATATTTATTTCATATTAATAAACCAAACAGATAACCTAAAAGGCATAAATGGGAATCATTATTGCCACTGTTCAAAATTAATTTTGCTGAATATATTGTTTTTAAAATGCTGAACCTAAGGGATGTTTTGCCTGTAAAATGTGTATGTCTCTGAATAGAGGGCATTTCATTTCACATCTTGTTCTTGTGACACTTTAGTTTTTCCTTTCACAAATCTGAAGATGAAAAATAACTCTGTTCCCTTTAAATTCTAAAAACTCCTCACATTTACTAGAGGAGGTAGAACCTGCCACCATAATTAGTTAATTAGCATGCTGTAACAATGTTGAAACTGTAGGCCCCTGTGGATTTGTTAGTGATCTGTATTTGTACTGCCATGGAGTAAACTGATGGGAATAGAGTGAGAGAATAAGAATACATAATAGGTTGCATTGGGAGTATCCATCCTCTGCCCCAACTAGTAAAGAAGTAAGGCCTGTAACTCCACTAACTATGGAGCTATGATGAGTTGTAACGGTCTGACCCTGTCCATGTGGCAATAAATGTGCCTTTCCACTCCACCGCATTTTTGTGTTTGACTTTTACAGCATTTTCGTTTAATGTTGTTAGTAATATAGTGAGAAAATAGCTATAGGGAGGGGAAAAATAGCTTGTTAATGTGATCCATTTTCTGTGCTTCAAACCATGGCCCATCCTTTTACAAAAATCAAGGACCAAAACATATATTTTAAAGATCCAGTGGAAATGTTGTTCTCATTTGCCTATTGTTCTACCTTCGGTATACCGAATTTATAAAACATCACTTCAGAGATGTGACCATGAAATCTGTGAATTTTTATGTGTGGTTGAATAAGAAAGTTCACCTTTAATGAACAATTTCATGCTTCAAAACATATGGAATGAAAGACTGTGCAAGGCTGAAATACAATTGATGTCATCCCTGGGGGAGTAATGGCCATTGACTAGGCAAGAGTGAGTATGGTCTGTGGGGCTGTGGTTCAGACCTAAAAGGGTGTTCAAAGTCTATCCAGTGAAGTGCTTTTCAACCAATTTGCTTACTCCTGTGCTGGTGGTGACAATCTCTAATCTAAACCATTTGGGCTACACAGTGGAGACTCCAACAGCTGGGTACCATAGATTACTTCTAGATGCTCCACTAGTTTCCCAGAAAGTTTTCCTGCTTTGGGAAGTAAGCTGTTAGTCCCACACTTGGTTATCCATTGATTTCAACTATTCATACTGGTGAGTGTTTACTTGGAAATCTGTGACCATTTCCTTAAGGAGAAGCACACATGCAGTCCTGGTAGTATCAACTTACAAATTCCTCTCCCAGTCCTATGGGGAAAACTGATTTTTATCCCAAAGATCTGAACTCCAGGGAATGACTGACCTCTTATGCAAACATACAGTTGGTTGCCTTCTCTCATGCAGGTGTAGAAGTGTACAAAGTTAACAAGTTACTGATGCCTATGTGTATCTACTCTGCTCCCCAGATAAAAAACCCAATTCCCTTTTGTCCTCCCATACATTTTGGCAGGAGAGGGAAACAGCATACCTTCAAGGGGAGATGTATTCCTGTAATCCCAAATTTGAACTAGAAATTCACTTTCCCTTAGAAACAATGTTGTAAATGTGTACTCATTATAATCTAGGGTGCATGAACTTGTATTTTAAAAATATTTTGATAACTGTATTACATTAAAACTGATTTCCTTTGTGATCCTCTATTTTTTATTCATTTAAAATCATTATTCTGAGAAGGGTTCTATAGACCTTACCATATTGAAAAAAGGGGTCCATGATACATGAAAAAGATTAAAACAAAACAAAGCAAAACATCTCAACGTTCTGATTCATGGCATTTGTCTCTTTAGGAAAATATATTACAAATTTACCATCAGTCATTAAAACTCTACTCCATCTCCATAGTTGGTACCTCCTGTCTGCCTTGGGAAGCTGCTAATGAATATTTCTGCTTCTTCTGGTTGAGGGAGGAAGTTACTGTGACATTGCCCCAGTCAAGCTTTCAAGACCTTTTCTTCTGAACTCACCCTTCCTCTTCAAAGGAAAATACCCCAACCTCTACTCCTGGCAGGGTTGTCGGGGTGGCGGATGAATTTCTTTCCATTCCAGTCCTGATTCTGGACCACTTGGGTCACTGGGTCATGTAAAATGCATCAAAGCTTCAATAAGCCTCAAGGAGGCACCTAGGAACCCTTGAGGACATCAGACTTGACCAACTTTGCCCTGTTACTGCTGCCACAGTAAGGGTTTCTCTCCTCCTCACACACTAGACACATGTAGTCAATTTGCTCACTCAAAGAACAGACTAATTAGCAATATGAAAGCAACATGGAAGAAAGGCCAGGGAAGTGGAGACCAACGAAAAAAGAATTAAGCACAAAGATAAGGAGAAAGAGAATGGCAAATAGAAGATATAAGTGACAATGACTAGTAGTAGTAGAAAAAGTGAATGACAGTGATGGACCTGACCAGGTGCATCACAGAAGAAACTTGGGAATCCCTCCAATGATTTGGGGCACCAGGTTTGAAAATGTAGAATGTAAGCTCTTTGGCCTCTCTGTATATCCAAAGATTAACAGTGCCTGGCACATAATAGGTGTTTAATAAATGCTTGTTGAATGAATAAATTAACTCAATATAGGGGCACTAATTTTTCTTTTTCTTTTCAGTTACAGAGAATCATTTATCATGTCTAAAGCTCCTGCATTAACAACATTTGCTCATTTTCCTAAAGAGGCGTCTCTCATGACTGACATCTCAAGTCCTATAACATCAGATGTATCAAAAGCTTTTCCTACAGTAGAAACAGCAAAAGGTATGAATTACATCTCACATGATAATTTTCCTTTGAACTTTTAAAATTCAAATGTACGTTTCAAATGAAACATATAAAATATGAAAGCATGTTTCAAAATCCAAAAGGATAAAAAATCAGGGGCCTAAAGCTGCTGGTAGTTATTAAATCAATAAGTTAATAAACATTTATTAAGCACCTGCTGTGTGCCAGGCACTGTGCTCAGTGATGGAATAAATAATCAGGGAATAGATACTTATTTTTGGAGGTATTATTTGCTAGGCCTACATTTAGCAAAGGCAAAGACCAAGCAGATCAGTCTTCCTAAGGCACAGTTCAACTTCTGTCACCACATGGTTCAATGCCTTCTACAACTCTCCATTGTCTAGGAAATGAAAACCAAACATTTTAGCCTGGCATTCAAGGCCTTCCATCACCTAGTTACAGCCCACCTTTCCAACCTTCTCCTATGCTTCCCTTCATGTTTAATACCCTCCAGTCCACCTGGGTATGTCACCATCCCTAGCTTCCATGTTTCTGATGTGCTCTTGTACTATCTCTGCCTATTGACATCCTACCCATCCTTTCATACCTTTCCCAAATATCATCTCCTCCTTGAAGACCTCCCTGATCCCACTAGTCAATAGTGGCCTGTCCTTCATCTGATCTCATAGTCCTTTGTGCTCTGATAATTATATTTATAATAGTGCCTTTAAGCCTTTTACATGCATTTTTATTTGAAGTCCTTATCATGTTCAGATCTGTATTGTATACATACACACACACATATATATAATATGTATATATTATTTATCTTTTCACTCATTAGATTTTAAGCTCCTTGAGAAAAGATGCTATCTTATTTATCTTTGTATTTTCCCCAGCTATTTGATAAAAGACTAAATAAGTAAATGCTTCCACATAAGTTCTCTTTCTGTTATTCATCATGGCATGGAAGTAATCTTGAGTGTGCCCTTGGAATGAAAGCTCTAATAGTTTCAGCCATTCTGGAAAAGCTTAGAGTACAGACCTGGTAACAAACATAGCATATTTCCTCTCTGAAAACCAACCCAGCTCAATACTGAGAAGCCTGACGCCAGTAAATTGGTCACTAGGCAGTGAATTATTTGGCCATAATAACCCTTGAAACAAAGAAAAATATATGATTTCCCTCAATCCTGTGATTCCCTTCCCCCTTTCCACTTGGGTAGTGAAGATGGCAGAGTGATGAAAAAGGAGGAAGAAGGTACTGAGAATCACACAGGTTTTAGACCATCTTAAGACATTAACCACAGTGCAATGTCTGAATTGATATACTGCTGTCAGATCTTAACCATGTTGATACTGAAATTCTTACTGTAAAGGAAATAAAAAGACAAAAATAGAATAAACTGTTCCTTGAGGGAAGGAACCTTTTTTTTTGTTTTTGTATGCCTGAAATCTAGCACACTGCCTTGAACATCCTGGACACAAACAAGTGTTTGTTGAATGGAGGAGAATAGAATCAAGAAGTCATGGCTAAATGGAAAGATGGATCACAAGTTCTCCTTATGAGGGGCAGCTAGGTGGCGCAGTGGATAGAGCTCCTGCCTTGGAGTCAGGAGGACCTGAGTTCAAATTCAGCCTCAGACACTTGACACTTACTAGCTATGTGACCCTGGGCAAGTCACTTAACCCCAATTGCCTCACAAAAGAAAAAACAAAACAAAAAAAACAGTTCTTCTAATGGCAAATAAAGGACTTGCTTGAGTTCGTTTCATCAGGTACCCAAAGGTAACAAGAATCTTCCTATCATGGGACAAACTGGGTCATTTTGCCTTGCAGTACTCATGATGAGCATAAGTGAAAAGATCACCATGAAGATGATTACAGCTTATGTGCCAGCATTCGTCAGTTTTGGAGGGACCAGATGTAGCTACATTCTATGAAGAACTCTACAAAATCCTCCTAACCAATTCAACATACACATTGATAATTAGAAATTTTAATACAAAGATGGACACAGGAAGGATGATAAATTACATGCGTGGTTTAGGATTAAGAAATGGAAGAGGCTAAAGACTTATAGACCGGAGGTGTCAAAACACTAGACACTTAGGTCACATTGCCGCTGGTAATACTCCCAGGGCTGTCCAAACCATATTAAAATGTAATTGGGAAATATTTCACAAAATAAATAAAAATACAGTAGAACATAGCAAGTTAATGTGGTTTTCTAAATGACTATGTGGCCTGCAGGATTCTTTATGTATAGTTTAGTGGTCCCATTTCCACTTGAGTTTGATACCTTTTTTGTAGACCACTTGAAAGCCTTAAGCCTTCTACTATATTCAAGGAATGATGCTAAGTGTTGGGGATCGAAAACCCTAAATGAAACAGTCACTGTCATCAAGGACTTCACATTCAAATTGTGGTGGGTATAACATGTACAAAAATAAGTATAATACAAATAATTTGAGGAGAGAAAGAGAGAGCGCACACCAACAGTTACTAAAGGGACAAAGATTCTACACAGAAGGTGCCTGAGATGAATCTTGAAGGAAGTTAAAATTCTGAGAGGCAGAGATAAAGAGAAAGTACAATCTAGGCACGAAGGTGTAAGAATGTGCAGAGGTGGCAGATGAACTGTTGGGTACAACAGTACTGCCCACAGTCTTCAGTTCTCTAAGCTAAACATCACCAGTTCCTCTAACCAAACTTCATACATTATGATCTGAAAGCCTTCTAACAATATTAGTTGCCTCATTTGGACATGCCCTCTATACCTTGTCAATGTCCTTCTGAAAATATAATTTTCAGTGGAAAACCATGATATTCCAATTGTTGTCTGACCAGTACAGTTAAGACTATCACTTTACTTGGTTTGAACATTATGACTCTCTTAATACAAACTGAAATTGAATTAGCTTTTTCAGCTGCCATGTTGCTCTAAGATTGATATTGAATTTGTAGTTCAATAAAAAGCTCACATGCACTGTTCCATCTCCTATTTGGAGAGCTTTGTTATTTGAAGGAAAGTTCAGAACTTTACCTTTACCCTAATTTAATTTAATTTTATTAGATTTGGCCCATTGTTTTAACATTTTAAAATCTTTCAGGATCCTGATGTCTCATCCAATATTTTAGCTGTCTTCCCAATTTTATGTTGCTTGCAAAACTGACAAGCAATGCCATCTATGCTTACATCTATGTCATTGATAAAAATGTTGAGAAACACAGGGCCAAAGACAGAGCCATTGGGGGATTCACTCTAAATGTCTGAGTTGTCATTAATTCATCAGTTACTGGTCTCTTTGGATCCAGCTATTCAACCCATGCTGAATCCACTGTACTACAGCTTACTTAAGTCACCATGTAACTTGCTCCGCACCATTTTGTTTTTAAGGCTAGTGTGAGATATTTTGTCAAAGGTGTTCCCAAAATACAGTTATATTATGCAAACAGCATTCTTTTGATTTACCATTTACACCTACTCTGTGTAAGTAATCTAATTACTTAGTCAAAAAAGGAAGAAAGAAAAGATAGGGTTGGTCTGGTTTTTCTTGATTCCCACTTACATTTCTTTATTAATACGTTCTTGAATTTTTCCAGGAATTGAAGAATCTTTAAGTTTCCCTCTTCTTAAAAAAAAAGTGGTGGTGGGTGGTATTTCTTTGATTCTTTCTTGATTCCTACAGCCTTTCTTTTATTCTCCATAATTTTTCAAAGATCTCCCTCTGCCACTTTTCTTAGTATTCTAGGATGTCACCATCTTTTCAAATAGCCCAGGTTTCAACTCTGCCTTAACCATTTTTGTCCTCTCTTCCCCAGTCCAAAGATCATTTTGTTTAGAAGATAAAAGCAAAATAAAAATGGATAGTTCTGCTTTCTTGCAGTCATCCATCTTCCACATTCAGCTGGGTCAATGTTTCTGTCCTCTCCTTGATCTGCATCTCACCTTCAACATCTTACTAGCTTTTTTTTTTAAGAGCCCTTTCCCTGGTGTCTTGAGCAATTATCTCCAAACTCCCTCATTCGGGGTGTTAACACTCCTGACACTATCTTGTTAGGACTGTACCACTCTTATATTCAAGTTTCATTACTTTCCTTTGCTCCCATTGTTTTAAAATTTTGAGTTGGTCAATGAGCCCCAATTAGTCTCTTTAAATAATTTCCCCCTTTTTCCTCTCCTTTTTTGGGGATCCTTCAGAATTTTCTTCTAGAGAGATTTCCAGCCACCTGTTCACATCCTCATTCTGATTTTCTTTTCTAAATCCTTTACCTTAAATGTGGGTGACAGTCATGTGAGCACTACCCATATCCCTAACATCTTCAGTTCCTTACTCAGGACTTTGCAGTCCATAGCAATGCTTTCTGGATATTCTTTGGTGGGATCATTTGACTGCACATGAATTACAAATAGTATAGGCAGGTGTTTGGGATATGCACCCAGGGAGACAGCAGACATCTTTTTTATTTCTGTCAAGTTTACAAAGAGCTTATTGTCAGTTTTAGCCATCACTGATTGCTGCCTGTTTCATCTTCCTCTAACTTTTACTGGTAAGACCTTGATAACACTCATGGATCGACATCAACAACTCTCCAAGGCCAAGAAGCCACGTCCTCCTGGGAGGCTCCTGTTCTTCCCTTTCAGCAAGGGGCTTGTGCCTGTTACTATGACTTAGCTTTGAGTATTCAGTAAATGGTCCTTCTCTTGCTTCTTTTTATTATAGTCTCCTGTCTTCTGGCCTTCTGACACAGCTTATGATTACCCTTTCCCTTCTGAAATGTTTTCTTCTTTCTTTTCTCTCTAAAATTCTTTTTCCATTTTTTTTTCAAAGAAGGCTTAACTTTTCCATTATAACCTGAAGAGTAGACATGTTATTCTCTAGAATGAAGAATGCCCTCTTCTTTACAGAAGCAGCTAGGGCATGCCACATTGCACAAGAGCAGTGGGCCTGGAATCAAAAAGACATGAGTTCAAATCCGGCCTAGCTATGTGACCCTGGGCAAGTCACTTAACTTCAGTTTCCTCAACTATAAAATGGAGATTATAATAATACCTACTTCCCAGGGTGGTTGTGAGGATGAAATAATGTTTTTTAAAAGCAATTAGCATAGTGCCTACCACATAGTAGGAGGTGCTACCCAAATGTTTATTTCTCTTCCTCCTTACACATTCATGGTTACTTTCTGGTAGTTCACAGGAACTCTTTGAGGGGTCACCACATGATGTACCTTGCCCACCATATTTGCTAGAAGTGGGTTCTTCAGTCTTTTGTCATTTTTGCTGGTAGTCCTTATGGCTAAATATGGTAGCGAACTGCCCATTTTCCACATCTGTTAGCTCAACTATAAACTTGAACAAGATTTATTTTCCTACCTTTTCTCACAAGAGGTTCCCTTTATCAGCTGCCTTTGATTGGCAATTAGTATTTTTCTGCCATACCCTTATGGAAAGAAAGTTACTCTGGTCTGTCCTCTGGGCCAGGGTCTAAAGCAAGAACTCAATTACCATCAGGGGTGCTATTGAAATCAACCTAGTTATCTGTGGGTATTCTTCTCTTCCCGTTGAAACTTGGATAGCTCCTTGCTCTCCTGCTTTCAACCTCTCACCTGAGATAGAACCCTAATCCTTTCATAGCTCTCCAAATTATAAAGGTATGTCAGAACTCATGCCTTTATGAACAGAAATAGGAACAGGAGGGTGAAGGTACAGGAAAGAAGATTTCAGATTGATATTAAGAGAAGTCTCCTTGCAATTATAGCTTTCAGAAGTGGGGATGGGAGGTTGTCCTAGGAGCTGATGTGTTCACCCTCCCTGGAGATTTCCAGGCAGTGGTTTGGATGACCTTGTCAAGGATGCTGCAAAGAGGATCCCTGTCCAAGTAGAGGTTGAATTAGAACAGCCTCCAGGGCTGCTTCCACTCTGAGATCCTGGGATTCTGTGATCTTCCCAGTCCTGTACAAATGTCCCCCGTGGCTATATCAATCACTGAGGAAGAGCTTCGAAGGTACGTGTTTTTAGAAAAAAAAGGTTTAGAAGGAGGGGGAGGGGTTGAGGGAGAAGGAAAGGGATCAGGGCATTGGCACATTCCATTGGATGCCCCTAGGGGACAGAACGAATGGCGATGAAGAACTGGAGCTTAACATCTCTCTGAAGGAGAGCAACCCTTTAGACTATCTCTGAGCAAATGCCTAAATACCCTGTGGAATAATCCATCCCTACATGCACATGATGACTTCCACATGTGTTCATTGCTATTTAGCTCAGTTTTTATTTAGGCTTCACAGTTTGCTTTGAAAGAATCTAGAATTCCTTCAGACTAGTAAAACCCTCATTTTCTTCATCCTGCATACTGATGTGGGTTAAATATGTGTTTGTGGTTTTTTTTCCCATTTTTACAGAACAGTTAATTAAACCTTCATTTGAATCATCTGAGAGAAAGCTCAAAGTAAGACCCACCGGATACCAATCCACCATCCAGCCAGGTTCCAACACCAAAGTCATCCTCCCTCCCATACCACAATGCCGAAAATAGGCCAGTACCGAATGTCTGCCTTCAAGGAGAAAACATTGCTTCGCTCATGCCCAAGCCTTCTATCTAACCTGGCTACTGATTCTAACTTTATCTTACACAGCCAGATGCCTACAAAAGAATGCTCCATGTGCCTTTGGTACTCTCAATCAGTCTCTTTATAACTCTCTGAATAGCTTCTGTCTTTTCAAAAGAAAAATGTGATTTATTTTTAGCTTCAAAAAATGACATTTCAGTTTTCTCCATAGCTATAAATGATTTTCCCAGCTGTTTCTTGCTTTGAAATGTCACAGAGAGCAGAAATCTCCTAAGATCCATGTGATGATATGTTCATGGTGATTTTAAAATATTTTTAGGACTACACTTGGGGGCCAGCCTTAAGACTTTCCACTTGTCCCCTTGAAATATTGGTAGATATTCTATAATGAATTGTTGTCCTATTTAGATTAAGAAAGGATTGGGGAATTACATATTATTTGTGGCTAACATGCACCAGCTATCTCTTTCAAAGGGAATTATCTTTTCAAAAAAAATTTACATTTAAAAGTATGAAGTATTAATGTGAATTTCTTCAATATGATTTTTATTTTAAGTTGTAACCATTATTCCCTTGAATTGCTTCAACAATATTAGGAAATAAAGAAAATAATGTTACTCCCTTCTGTTTCAATTGGCTAAATATTGTGGTCTAGTAGAAATGGTTTTCTGACCCATGTTAATCTTCATGATTATTAGAAGCAGAGGGAAACCTTATCTTTACAGAAAAAAATCTAGGCAGTAACAGAGATATTTCATTGGGTTTTATTTTTCCAAATGTCTTCTAAAAATTGTTTTTGAATCACAACCCTTGTTCCTTTTGTGTTCTTGATTAGAGACCATCCACTTAAGAGTTGGTACCCTATTTCACTTAGATTTGAAGCTCAATGGCATGGATCTTTCTGGGCTTTGTAAGACAGATTATGTTGTTATCAGTATACAAGTTTTCATAACATTTTTAACTTCTCCCCACACTTAGATTAAACTGTATGAGTCCTGACCAAAATTCTCAGTAGGATCCATTTTATTAACTTTGCTCATCATCATTAAATCAAATTATTAATAGAGAAATCATGGTAATGGTGCTGGCCTTCAGCCAAGAAGACCGAAGTTCAAGTTCAGTTTAGGACACAGACTAGCTTTGTGACCCTGGGCAGGCGAATTTCAGTGTCCCAGGCAGTGCATTAAAAGTCGCAAAATTTTTGGCAAACAACTTCAGTTGCCAATCTGAAGTAGTAGAGAACTTCCCTATCTTAACAAAGCCATAGGGCCATCCCCACAGGTGCATATTACAGTAGTTCTAGTGTAATTTTATATCTCATGCTTGGCTACATTTTCCTATTGATGCAAGTAGTGACAAATAACAAAGAATTTCAAGAATTCAGCCTGTGAATAATTGCTTCAGTTAAAATAAAATTGGCTGATGTGACATTCTATCAATTGAAAATCTATTAAACAGCATTTCCCATATTTCACCAACACCATAAAAATTGATGTTCATGATGATGTCCCCAAGGCACAGCAAGCTTCTGGAGGACCTTCACAAAGCACATTTGGGCCCAATACAAAGAAAACATATCCTAGCAATTAAAGCTGTCTCAACATGGAATGAACTACCTTGTAAAGTAGTAACTTCCCTTTCACAGAAGATCTTCAAGTTAGGGTTGGATGGCCACTTATTGGAAACATAAATGGGTAGAGATTAGACCTTTAATTTCCCACAATTCTGTGTTTCTGAATAAGCAAAGAGAAATGATGAAATTGTGTTCAATATAGTTTCGTTATTAAATGGATTTTCTGGTATCCTAGTTCTTTGAAAATTAATCATCTATATGTAGTAACTCATGCCATATTTAATAAACAGTTATTAAGCCTTACTTTGTATAAGGCACTATGACAGATGCAATGCAGACCTTGCTCTTGGGAAACTTCCAATATATGGATGTTGGACATAAGTGCAATAAACAATCTAGGAGCTCTGAGAAATTGAAAGATCACCTTAATTTGGGGATACCAGTTAAGGTTTCATGAAGGAAGTAGTGTCTGACTAGAGACTTGAAGAGAGAGAGGCGACTTCAACAGACTGAAATGAGAGCAAAATTTATTCCAGGTTCTGAAGATGGCAAATAGTCAAAGAGAAAAGAGAAGACATCATGAGAATGGGGGAAAGAGAGAAGTCTAGTTTGACTGGAGGAGGAAAGCAAAGGAGAAGATTGAAGCCAGATAGTGGAGACCCTTGGGTTCCAGGATCAGCAGTTCATATTTCTTTTGGCATTGAGGATCTACTAAAAGTTTTTAAGTAGAGACATGACCAGAGCAAGGCACTGGGGAGCAAGAGTATAAAGAGTGGGTTAGAAGGTAGGGAGACTGGAAGCAAGAAGACCAGTTGAAATAGTATTCTGATAGACTTGATGAGAAGAGATTAGAATTGAATTTGAGTATTTGCAGTGAAAAGATGATTTGGATAGAGGCAGATTGAACAGCACTCGGTTGCTCATTGGATATTTGTTGTGAGGGAAAAGGGTCAAAGATGACTTCTGATTATGGGCCTGGTAACTGGGAGGATGCAGATGTCATAAAAAAGAAAATTGGGGGAAGGGCAAGTTCTTTTAGAAATGAAATGTGCGTATGTCTGATTTGTCATGCCTGTGGACATTCATATGGAACTGTCACATGGGAAGCTGAAAATGGCGGACTGCTGAGCGTTTTCCCTATTTGCCCATACTAAGTTGCTTGGTTACCCTGGTAGCTCCTGAGGGGTGTGTGTGTGTGTGCGTGTGTGTGTGTGTGTGTGTGTGTGTGTGTGTGTGTGTGTGTGTGTCCTTACTGTTTACAGAACACTCTCTTGGGTTCTTCTGACTCCTTAATTAAGTGCATTGCTTAACACCAAAGAGATTCTACCAAGTCTTTTTGTTCTTTATACTCATGATTGATGTTTTCAAAGATGGCCCAGGTCCATTTGTAAGAGGCTCCTGCTCTCTTTGTTTACCTTAATATAGAAGTCTATAGACCCTTAAACAATTGTAACTTTAGAATGCAATATTCTAGGCAGGTCTAGCTGCTTGGAACTATCACAAATGTGGCTTCACCTCTCACAACCAGGACCACCGACTGCCAAGCATTCGCTGCTAACAGGACGGGAAGTCCAACCTGAGGGAGGGACAGGAGAGAGGCAACAAGTGCCAGGCAAATAAAACCACCACCACCACCTTGGCCACAATCCCCCCTCAGAACCTGATGGATGCAACCCAAGACCCTGAATCCAAGAACTCTGGGAATAAGAATGCTTTCAGTCTAGCATCCACAACCATCATCCTAAGAATTGACTCCTGTGGAGACCCAGCCCAGCAACTGGGCCAGCAGGTGCTGCAGCCACATCGACTGAAGACTCAGAAGAGAGTTCTGGACACCAAAGTGCTTGGCCCTGTCAAGTGGTTCAACACTGAAAACAGATATGGTCTTACCAATGGAAATGGGATGAAAAAAGAGGCATTACCATCTGCTTTGCCCTCATACCCCGAAGGACCATGAGGATTTTCCATTTGACTTGTAGCTGAAACCTGCCATCTGCCTTATTCCCCCTTAGAATGGGAGCATCTTGAGAGCAGGACTGACTTTTTTTCCTCTGTGTATCCCCGGCACTTAGCACAGTGTTTTTGCATATAGTAAGTGACAAATAAATGTTTCATTAATTCATTCACCTGCAACAAACAATTCCCCAAGGGCTCGAAAGCACTTCATGCTCTCTTCTTTGCTTTGAAACAATAACTGAAGAATCAATATTCATTTTTGGAAGCCTACTGACAATCTGTGCTGTGATCAGAGCAGTGAAAGGCAGTGGAAATCTGGTCACCTGAAGATCAGCCAGAGACCTGAGGGGGGTTTACCTCTGTAACAGATGACTTTGTGAGCACAGGATAGGCGTCAGCAAGTATTTTAAGGGCTCTTGTGGAAAAGGGATTTATTTCACTTGGCCAAAAAAGAAGGGAATTAGGAATGATGGGTAGGTGTGGCAGCAAGGCAGACTAAAGTTTGAAACAAGGAAAAGCTTCTGAACAATTAGAGCTGTACTAGAGAAGCAGACTACCTTGGGAAGTAGTTGGTTCCTACTCACTGGAAGTCTTCTATTGGAAGTAGCATAGTCATTCATTGAGAATGTTGTAAAAAGAGATTCCTGCTTAGCACCAGATCAGATGACCTTAGAAGTTGATAGAATCAGTGAGAAATGTAGAACTAGAAGAAACTTTTAGAAGTCACTTAATATGACCTTTCTGACTTCTCCAGAACACATTTGACTCAGTTGACTACTGTCTCCTCCTAAATACTCTTTCCTCTCTGGAATTTCATGATACTTATCTCTCCTGGTTCTCCTACATCTCTCAGTAACATGGTCTTTTGACTAGGGACTTTTCTTTCTTTTCCCCTTTCTTCTCCCACTCCCAACAGCCATTTCTAAACCATTGTCCTGCTCTAACTGACATGCCTATAACCATAGTTCTCCAAGGATGCTGTTTGATTTCTCTCTCTAGTCTCAGTATTGGCATAAATATGTACAGCTCAGCAACTCTTTCTCAGGTCATCTCTTGGCTCAGAAGCATAGAGATGCCTGGGGCCAAAACAGATGGAACCTTTATTTCTTTCATGGGAGGGAGCTGGGACTCACTAGTACTTAGGCAACATTTTTTCTTCTGTTTGCTTTAGAAAAATGATTGAGACACCCATTATTCTAAATGATCGAAAGTATCATTAACAGTAGACCATTTACATTTGTTCCAAGAGGCAGTGAACATGTACCCCCAGTACCAACAATTTTTTCTAGACAAACATTAAAAAAAGGCCTATTGATTGATTAGTTGTGATTTTAAAAAAATGTACTACTACTATAACCAAAGTAGCTAGGTGTCCAAGTGGATAAAGCACCAGGCCTGGAGTCAGGAGGACCTGATTCAAATGTGGCCTTAGACACTTACTAGCTTGGTGACTCTGGCTGAATCATCTAATCCTGTTTACCTCAGTTTTCTTATCTGTAAAATGAGCTGGAGAAGAAAATGGCAAACCACTTCCACTGTCTTTGCCACAAAACCCCAAGCAGGGTCACAAAGAGTTGGAAATGACTGAGCAGTAATACAGGTAGAGCAAAGTTGGCTAGCTGTCAGGCTCTCCTTTTTACTCCCTCCTCCCTTCAGGAAAAAGGAGGAGCTGGTTCTTCCCAGACCATCTCTATCTTTCCTTGCACTGGGCCAGCTCAGGGAATAATATTCCTTTTGGTCCTGCCCTCTCCATCTTCCCTCTCCTTGATTCCAGGTTGAGTTTTTGGTTTTGCCTCAGGCTCCCATATTTGAAATGACTCAGCCTTGACTGGGCTTGTGTTTTTTAGCCTTCAGGCATATTGGTTTAAATCCAGGTGGTTCTTTCTCATATTTTAAAGAAAGCATATTAATACAGGTTATTAGTAAAATCATAATAGCCTCCAGATTAGAATGAATTCTCCTTCATCAGGACAGTATTTGGTACCATTACATATATATGAGGGCAGCTAGGTGGCTCAGTGGCCTGGAGTCAGGAAGATCTGAGTTGAAATCTGGCCTGAGATACTTCCTAGCTCTGGGACCCTGAGTAAGTCACTTAATCCTGTTTGCCTCAGTTTCCTCATCTATAAAATGAGCTGGAGAAGAAAATGGCAAACCACTCCAGTATCTCTGCCAAGAACACTCCAAATGGGGTCATGGAGAGTTGGACACAATTACTTACATGCATACATACATAAATGCATATGTGTGTGTGTGTGTGTGTGTGTGCATATAGTTGTTGTTCAGTCATTTCAGTTGTGTCTGACTCTCTGTGACCCCATGGGGGGGCAGATGGGGGTGGTTTCTTGGCAAAGATACTGGAGTAGTTTGCCATTTCCTTCTCTAGCTCATTTTACAGGTGAGGAAACTGAGGCAAACAGGGTTAAGTGACTTCCCCAGAATCACACAGCTACTAAGTGTCTCAGGCCAGATTTGAACTCAGGAAGAGGAGTCTTTCTGATTCCAAGTCCAGTGCTCTATCCACTGTACCACCTGGCTGCCCATATATATGTTATATACACAAATGTGTACGTACATATGTGTATATACAGATACACACATGTGTATATATGCATATATATGTATTGTGTGTGTATATGTATATATATGTGTATATATGTAAACACTGATTCATGTACACAGACATAGGGAGAGAAAGTTGAGAGGGCTTTTCAAACTTTTGGGGGCTGTTTCTCAGGAGCCAACATTTAATAAGCTCTGTGTGAGTTCTTTGTTCCATTGGGAGGCTGCCCCAGGCTTAGCTAAGTCCTTACACTAAGTCCTCAGTCCCAGCACATACACTCTAAGAGGTCCTCAGGGACATAAATGCTGTGGCCGTGACATGCTTTTTTTCCCTCATTGCTGCTCAGCTCCCAGCCTGTCTCCTCTCTTTCTCCATTCTCTCAATCATGACTTCAAAAGGTCCCACTAGAGTGGAAAATCCTAGCCTCCAGCTAAGGGTCCATGGTGTGTGCCTAGTTTCTTGCCGGGTTAGGAAGACTATGAAAGCCAAGCTCCCTAACTGGCCTGTGGACACTTCCTCTTCCATTTTCAAAAGTCAGCTTCTCTCAAAGGCTCTCAAAGGAATGGCTGAACAAGTTGTGGTATGTGATTGTGATGGAATATTACTATGCTGTGAGAAATAATGAGCAAG